GAGAGAGAGAGGGTCATTCGGGGAATCATTTTCATAAAAAAAAGGAATAAGAAGAAGAAAGACATTTTTGTTCTCAATGTGTACTTTTCAAGTAACGTTACAGTTTTCGTGCAATTTATTTTTAAATGTAGTTTATTACACACTTTACAACACAACTGTCAAATACTGTAAGTTATATTGACATTAATAACGATAACGATATCAATGGTGAAATATAGCCTATTCTAATTATGAAATGTATTATTTACATTAGTTACGCTTGGCAGTACAATTCTTTTAGTCAGTTTTTTATAGTAGTGGTATAAAATTATAACATTTACTACCGCCACTTAAAATCTAATAACCGAAATCACGTCATTTGCATACGGAATTATGAGTGTTATTTTCTTTCTGGCATATAGGCTTATTTATTCCATAGCCACATCTAAGGTTTTAAAAAGTCATCCGCTCATTAAGCTGAATATTAATCCGTAATACAACTATTAAATAATAACATTTAATTAATAAAATATGAATAATTAATTAAATGAATAAAATACTAATCAGTAACATATAGTCTGCTAATTTTTTTTTTTTAATTAACGCTCAAAAATAAAAAAACAGTAGCCTATACAAAAAGTAATACAACCATCAACATAAAAATGATAGACCATAACAACAAAATAAAATTAAAACAAATGAAGAAAAAGGGGGTGTTTAGCATAGCAAACTGAAAAAAAATTGAGACTTATATGTCATTAAAGATAGGAAAAGATCTACAAACAGATAAAGTTTTTTAGAGCTTTTTTTGTTCTTAGACAAGTGGATCAATGAAAGGTATTGCTCGAATTCTTCTGGTCAGGTTGAATATTTGCATCTGTGTAGGCATGAATCAAAATCAGATTCACTACATAAGACTGTTTTCTTTTAGACTGTTCATACTCAATAAAACACCAGCGCTACGTCCTTCCAAAACACATTCATTCTCAATTTTACTCCTATAGTCTGCATTATTATCCAAAAAGCTGCTGCAGCATGTGACTTGATGCTTGTTACAACGCTGTTGATGATGGATTCAAGTTTGTAATTATTTTATGAGGATATGTAAAATAAAGATTCTTTAGAAATTGCATAGGCGGAATTGCGTTTGTGCGCCAGGTTCCAAAATAAATAAATTTGAATAAATATTCCAAATATAGCTACAAATACATTCTGAGATTTCTAAACCGCCGCGCGCCCCCTGGAGGAATACCGAGCGCAGTCTTTTATTCTGTCGCTGGCCAGCAGAGGGCGCCTCCTCTCCGCTCCACTAAAGCCCTGCAAAGTAGCCAACGTCTTTGCCTGATTCGTTTTTGCAGAAATGTAACAGTAATTTTCTAGTGTAAGAATGAAATGAAAAGTATATCATTTATACATTAAACATAAGCTCTAATACAATCTTTATTAAGCATATTTTTTTCCAGTTGACTATTTAATTTCAGACGTTCGGGGCGACTAAACCACCGCGTTTTAGGACCCAAGTTTATGTCGCGCATTTCAAATTTCAAAACAAACGAGTCGCCCTTGTCAACACAGTGAGAATGGATGCGGTGGACTGAACGTCGGACTGTCTCGTTCAAACTAATGCAAAACGAATACATGCAGCGTGTAAAAGCATTTGTGGTGATATGTGTTTGATTTTCGACACAATGATCACCATAAATCGTTTTTGTACTTCTCTGAGTGAGGATCATCTACGGTGAGACGACAGACTAGTGATCTAATCTAACAGTTAGTGAACTAGTTGGATTAAATTAATATTTGAAGAGACAGCAGAAATGGAAGCTCATGGAATATCATCTGAAGGCTCAAACAGCGCAGTGAAAGCTCCCTCCATCGAGGACTTTCTGCTGGTCAAACCTATCAGTCGAGGAGCCTTTGGGAAGGTTTACCTCGCCAGAAAGAAATGCAACTCCAAACTCTATGCAGTCAAGGTACAGAGATATTTAGTTATGTTTTGTATATAATGTTTTTTATATATATATATATATGTATATATATGTGTGTGTGTGTGTGTATATATATATATATATATATGTGTGTGTGTGTGTGTGTGTGTGTGTGTATATATAGCCTTTATGCTGATGGTAATATAGCTACTAATATATATATATATATATATATATATATATTATATATTACACACGCCATAGTATTTAAAATAAGTATAATTAAAATAATGTATCCTAAATTTGCCAATGTATCCTAAGTTTACTAATTTTTGTTTATTATAGTTACTGTTTGTCATGTCGTTCAGATTTTCTCAACTGTTTAACCATTTTAAATTGTTAGCGTTGATAAACAATTTTTTTTTTTTGTCAGGTGGTGAAGAAAGCAGACATGGTGGATAAGAACATGATTGATCAGATGAGAGCTGAGAGAGATGCTCTGGCTCTCAGTAAAAGTCCTTTTATTGTGCACCTGTTTTACTCTTTACAAACTGCAACTAAAGTCTATCTGGTACGTACAAGGATGAATCTCATTAAAACCGGTGCAGGTCACATTTCAAAAAGACCTCGGGTGGAAAATATTTAAAGGAATCATTCAACCAAAAATGAAAGTTTGGCAACAAAATGTAGGCTAATTACCCTCAAGCCATGTAGATGTGGATGAGTTAATCGTAACAGATTTGGAGAAATGCAGCATTACATCACTTGCTCACCAATGGATCCTCTGCAGTGAATGGGTGCCGTTCGGCCAATCACAATGCACTGGGTCAGCTGGCTAATCAGAGCAGACTGCGCTTGTTGGAAGGAGGGACTTTGTAGAAAACGAAGCGTTTGAGAGAGGCGGGGCATAGAGGACCTACAATAATGTACAGTATTTGAAAAATAATGTGTTTTTTGAAAATTAAAGCATGTCAACATATTCTGTTACACCAAATACACAAAATAATGATCTTTAAAAAAGCATCATATGACCCCTTTAACGTCTTGTGAAGTGAAAAAACTGTGTTTGTAAGAAACAAACCCATAAAGGCAATTTAACTTCTAAACAGTCTCTTTGGCTAAAATATCGTAATTCAAAACAATGCTTCCTTCAATAAAAAAGTCCATCCCCTGTTGTTCTATCACATCAAAATCCAATCACATTTTAGTTTAGAACTGTTCTGAACTGTTTCCGCTTATAAATGGTGCAAAATTTTTGCATATTTCTCTCCTGATTCAGATGTGATGACTTTTTCACTAGAGAAAGTGATATTATAAAGTTAAAATCATCTTAATGATGGATTTGTTCATTACAAACATGCAGTTTTTCACTTCACAAGATGTTAATTAATGGACTGGAGTCATGTGGATTACTGCGATGTTTGTATCAGTTGCTCTGACGGCACCCATTCACTGCAGAGGATCCATTGGTGAGCAAGTGATGTAATGCTAGATTTCTCCAGAACTGTTCTGATGACTAAACAACCTCATCTACATCTTGGATGGCCTGAGGGTGAGTACATTTTTGGGTGAACTACTTGTTAAATGTGAAACTTTAAAAGGTGCATGCATGCTTTTTTTTTCTAGGTGATGGAGTATCTGATTGGTGGAGATGTAAAATCACTTCTTCATATTTATGGATACTTTGATGAGGACATGTCTCTGAAATACATCTCAGAGGTTGCACTCGCTCTGGATTACCTTCACAGACACAGCATTATTCACAGGTATATTCATAAATACAGGAGAATTATGAGTAATTTTTAGTCTTTTGTTTATTAAACTGACATCCTTTTTGTCATTTGACTCAGGGACTTAAAACCAGACAACATGCTCATCTCAAATGAGGGTCACATTAAACTCACTGACTTTGGGCTCTCCAAGGTTAAACTTGACAGGGGTATGTTATTATTATTATTTTTTTAAATAAATATATATTTTTTATTAATATTGTTAACATCAAGAAATGCTAAAATATTTTGTCTTTGTGATAGTAACAAAGCTTTCCTTCCCCATCCTCCAGAACTAAACCTGATGGACATTTTAACCACACCTTCTTTGATGAAACCTAATAAAGATTATTTCAGAACACCTGGTCAAGTTCTGTCACTGATAAGCTCTCTTGGCCTCGTGAGTAGATTTGCACAATCGTTTCATTTGTATATTACATGGCTCAACAATAATATTTTTTTTCTGCTGTCCCTGATGATTCAGTTGTTATTTTATTAGCTTTGATTTGATTAATTAATATTGCTAATTTATCAAATATCTATTTTAGTAGTAAATTTTCATCTTTGAAAAATGTAAATAAAAGGGCTATAATGTAACTCTTAGCTATATTAAAAATAAATAAATTAATTAACAACACATATTTGGATAAACTGTGGCATACAGCGTGATACATTAAGGATTTGTATATAATTTTAACTTATTCTAACTGAAGCTTTCCAGACTGTTCTTTCAAGTCATTTCTGCAGTTTGGACAAAAACGTCATGTCAGCTAGCTAACGTTACTTTTGTGACATTTAAATGTATTATCTACAAAATACTAAATCACTATCAGTATCCTTCAAAAGTTTAGGGTTAGTCCATTAAATTGATCAAAAGTGACAGTAAAGACATTTACAAGGATACAGAAGGTTTCTATTTCAAATAAATGCTGCTCTTTTGAACTTTCTATTCATCAAAGCATTTTGAAAAATGTTATCTTGGTTTCAACTAGGGCTGCACGATAAATCGCATGCGATATTTAATGCGCATCTTGTCAGAAAGCCGGTTCTGTAATCAGCGGTAAATCTCCATCACCTGC